TGTGACCTTTCTGGACAGTGAAATTAACACATATATAAACCATGAAGTATAATAAAGAATACAATGAAAATTTTACAAATAGTAAACAGTAGGACAAATTAATTTATACATAAAAACAAAATTTAAAATAAATACTAATACATTCATCGGATTGTTTGTTTTGTTTTTGAGTTTCGCGCAAAGCTACACGAGGGCTATCTGCGCTAGCCGTCCCTAATTTAGCAGTGTAAGACTAGAGGGAAGGCAGCTAGTCATCATCACCTACTGTCAACTCTTGGGCTACTCTTTTACCAACGAATATAGTGGGACTGATTGTCACATTATAACGTCCCCACAGCTGAAAGGGCGAGCATGTTTGGTGTGACGGGGATTCGAACCTGCGACTTTCAGATTGCGAGTAGAGCGCCCTAACCACCTCTTGCACTAATTAAACCACAATATTGTAGAGGATAATCTCTTGCACTAATTAAACTACAAGATTGCAGAGGATAATCTCTTACACTAAGTAAACCTCAATGTTGTATAGGATAATCTCTTGCACTAAGTAAACCACAAGATTGCAGAGGATAATCTCTTGCACTAAGTAAACCACAAGATTGCAGAGGATAATCTCTTGCAAAAGGTAAACTAAAATAAAATATCGATATTCCTCTCTTTATAAAAAGTATGAAAATCAAGCTTCTTTAGAATACTAAGTAAACCACCAATAAATGTTATTACACTTTTGTATTACCCGTGATAACAAAAACCCTGAATATTTGGCTCTCATTATAAGTACGATAAACAAAAATCAGATTTATATTGTTTGCTTAAGTGAATTAGAAGGCTAGTTTTTAAAGTGATATATATGGAAAACAGAAAAAAAAAAACGCAGGAAAAGCATTAACGATTTAAACCTCTAAATATCTAAGCAGACGTGTACTTTTTGGCACCACAATAACTCGTAGAAAAGAACGATTTTACATACAAAGTTACTAAAAACTATTTATCCAATATTTCAAGCAAGAAATTGTACACATGTGACTTTAATGATTAGTAATGAATGTTAAAATTTCTAGCCTTACAAAAAGAGTTGTTTAAATATGCTCAGTAGTTTAAATAGTTACTGTATTTTTGAAACTATCAGATACATCAAAACCTTTTTTTTCCCACAAAATTATAGATAAAATTAAAATATATAGATATCTACCTTAATCTAACAATAGAGGTCTATTTTCCAAATTTATGTAGTAAACAAACATGTTTTTTAAACTGATATAGCTGTTTTACCATTACGGTGATTAGTTTTCTTGGGGCATAATTTCAGCAGATATTATAAGGAAAGGAACTGCTAAAAATGTTTTTATAAACTAAAATACGTGAGTGTGTATATATATATATATGATAGTTTCTTGTATTGTATAAATAATTTTATTTGTAAGCAACACAAAACATATGTACGAAGCGCCATTTCAAAACTAAGGCTTTTGAGCATTTAGGAATGCATAGTGGAATTGGTCTTTACCTAATAAAACTTTGTCATTCAGTAATTCGATCACATGAAGCAGCCCCATGTCATAACATGGCAGTTAACAATTTTACCATCATTTCAACTGACTGAGTGACTGCCATGACCTAAATAATCAACAAATATTCTTCCGATTAAAACTGTTGTAATCAACATAAGAACAGCAATAACCAACCCGAAATTCATGTATCCTAACTTCCGATTAATGTGCCCGGCATGGCCAGATTATCCTCTACAATATTGTGGTTTATTTAGTGCAAGAGATTATTCTCTGCAATCTTGTGGTTTAATTACTGCAAAAGATTATCCTCTACAATATTGTGGTTTACTTAGTGCAAGAGATTATCCTCTACAGTCTTGTGGTTTACTTACTGCAAAAGATTATCCTCTACAATATTGTGGTTTACTTAGTGCAAGAGATTATCCTCTACAGTCTTTATTTAGTGCAAGAGAT